CACCCTGTTTGGAGGCCAACATGGTCAGCTGGTGGCTGGGCTGAGTCTGTTCGGGACGGCGCTCTGGCCTGGAGCTTTCCCCTCTCCGACAATGGAGGCCTTCGTGGTCTAAGGAAACTGAAGGATGGACAGAAATTGTCTGGCAATCGGGTATTACGGACACAGAAACACTGGCAACGTGAAAACCCCAGCGCACGCTTCTCTCCCGGCTGGGAAACTACCCATGCTCGGCCATGTGTCCATTATGTAAAACACACCCGAACTTTAAGAATCCCTCATGTGTGGCAATAATAATCAATCCTGGTTTTGAAAGCCAGGTTTTTCTTAAAGGAGGTGTCTGTCTGACACGTGGCTCAGAGCATAATCGGTCTTTCTGGAAGGCTCCTTGCTGAGTCCCAACCCTCCCGAACCACGGATACAAGCCGAACCGCTGCTTGGGGAGGTCCGCTCCTCTGAGGTCAACAGCACAGTTACAGAGCGCCATGAACTCACCGGGATTGGTGGCGCCTCAGCTGGTGGTGCGGCCGCGACCATAACCACCAGGGCCCTCGGCATCCCTCCCACACGGCAGCTAGGGAGTCACCCGTGGCTCACCCTTCCTCTTCCCCTACATCCAATGCCTCACAATCCCTGCAGTCTTCGAATCCTAAATATATTCAGAATCCAACCACTTTGGACCACCTGCCCTTCCCCCAGCCTGACCTAAGCCAATGTCACCGCTCACCAACCTGGTCTCCCTGATTCACCCTCGTCACCCTACAGCCTGTTCTCAGGAAGGCAGCCACATCTTGCACTCATGGCTTATAATAGCCAAGTTCATTTCTGCCATGCCTCGGCTGAAACCCTCCAAGGGCTTCCCATCCCACTCGGAGTCAGAGGCCCAGGCCCTAGAGTAGCCTTGATCTATAGAATCTGCCCTGCTACCTTTCTAAAGGTGGCCTCACTGGCTTGCATATTTCCTCCCAAACTCAGCCCACTATGGCCACAGGACCTTTGCACCTGCACTTCCCCCTGTGAGAACACTCTCCTAACATACTGCACCGTCCACTCCTCACTCCCTTGAGTCTCTACCCAAATGTCACCCTGGGGCGACCATCCTACTTAAAATAGAGGCCTGCCCCCCATCCCCACTCTCCTTCCTCCTCTCCATAGCCATTAGGTCCATTGGGCACACTCTATATTCACCTATCTGTTTATTGCCTATCTACCCCCATTAGAAAGTCAGTCCCATGAAGGCAGGCAGTTTTGCCTACACTGGTCACTGCTGTACCCTCAGCTCTTTACCCCGCAGGTAAAGCAGGTGCTGTGGGGTTTGTTTGGAGCTGAACAGATAGACCTTTGCCAGATGATTGAAGAGCGTATGGAAATGGCTGAAGTAACAGCACAGGTAGGTACTGTGGGCAGAGGCAGCCAGCTGGCATCCAGTTGTGTTTCTTGCTTTTTTTTTTTTAGGTTTATTTATTTATTTTAAGGGAGAGAGAGAGAGAGAGAGAGAGAAAGTGCAAGTGGGAGCAGGAGCGGGGGGAGGGGCAGAGAGAAAGAGAGAGAGAATCTTAAGCAGGCTCCACACTCAGTGCAGAGGCTGACACGGGGCTCGATCCCACAAACCGTGAGATCATGACTTGAGCCGACACCAAGAGTCGTACCCTTAACCGACTGAGCCACCCAGGCGCCCCTCTTGCCCGTTCTATGTCAATGTCCTCAACTATTGAGTGAGTCTACAACCCTCCCTTTCTCAGTGTTCCCCAAATGGTTATTTTGTGCATGTCTCCAGAGAAATGGGGTCTTTGTGGATGGCTGACTGAACGGGGGGGACGCTAACCTTTTATCCACGTTCCCTGCTTCTTGCCGAGGCTGCCTGGTTCAGAAAGCCCCCCGCTGAGAGGCTGGACGCCTCCACAGCTGTACCTGCCAGAATCCTTGAAGCAGGACCACTCGGACCTTGATGAAAACCCTAAGTCACGCTCGGCACCCCAGCTGCAGGGGAGAGCTGGGAAATGCAGTTTTCAGTCCCCAGCCTCTGCAGCACGAGCTATCACGCTAGAACAGTGTTTTCAAGATTGTGGGCTCCTCCCCACTAGTGGCCTTGAAATCGATTTGCTGGAAGCACACCAGAATCCTTTTCAATGAGACAGAAGAGACTACAAAATATCACAGCGTGCCATACACTCTGGGATCAGTACTGGCTCACGAAACTTTCTGCCCGAGCATCGGCCCAAAACTATCCCATCAGAATTTCCGGTGCATCAGACTTTTTTAAAAGCTCCCCGGTTAATCCAAATGTGTGGCCAGGAATAAGGCCCACAGGGTCTGGACATTTCCCTACAGAAGGGGACTTTCTGCACCCACTCTTCCCAGGCAGCATCTGGCCACACGAACAGTCATGCGGCCATGGTGCTGGGGGCCAGGCCTTCCAGGTTCTGTCTGCATCAAAACGCATCTCTCTCCTGACAGGTTCGTTCTCTTTCTTTTCTTCCTGCCCCGAAGCCCACGCTTCTCTGGGGTACCTCTCTGAGCTCCTGTGTGCCCCCACTGACCGATGAAACTTTGCTCTGCCTGTGACTGGACCGAGCCAGGTCCCCAAGCCTCGTGATGACTTCCACAGCCTCGAGGGGAGGGCTTCCTGAATCCAATCCATTGCTGGGGTTCAATACGTCAAGGAGAAGGTAAAAACACCAAAGCAGTTTGGCCCTAAGAAAGAACACAGTAGTTTCCTCAAAAAGCATCAGCACAGCTCAGCTCCCTGCATATCAAGAGAGGAAAGCCAGGCGAAGGGCCCACACTTCTGGAACACCCGCTTGTTTTCATCGGGCCAAGGACGCGGGGAAGAGGGAGGCTCTCCTTCTGACAAATTGACTGTCAGCATGGTGTGGGCACAGTCACTCTTACCTATAAAGTTCCACCCGGGGGGGCCTGCTACTTATGATTACTTTAGACTCTGGGAAGATGAGCAAAACGTTCTCAGCCCTGGAGCTACCTGATGGAACTGCCAGACCCATGAATATGATGGCCCGACATCAGACACACAGACTTCCAGACTCCATAGGACAGGAAGGTATAACGCACATTCAGGAGACTGGACTCTGAGGGGCGTGTGGGTGGCTCAGCTGGTGATGCGTCCAGCTTCGGCTCAGGTCACGACCTCACGGTTCGTGGGTTCGAGCCCCGCGTCGGGCTCTGTGCTGACAGCTCGGAGCCTGGAGCCGGCTTCGGATTCGTTGTCTCCCTCCCTCTCTCTGCCCCTCCCCCGCTTGTGCTCGCTCTCCTCAAAAATAAATAAATAAGCATTAAAAAGAAAGAAAGAAAGAAATTGGACTCCGATACCAACTTCCTTGGGCATAAATTTCAGTCCTGAAGTCAAAGCTGAAGGATCACGGAGACCAGAGAACGCAGGGCCATGACTTTGTCATGTGCCACTTGCCTGAAACTTAGTTTCTCTCCTGAAGACACCGGGAGACAGCAGGCTAGCACGCCCAGGACAGTCTTTGGGGACAAAGGCACAGAGACGATCCCTTCTACCTCCTGCAGACAGCTTGCCCAAGACGCGTGGGAGACTCCGTGTGTGTGAGACAAATGACTAGAGGGCACGGAGTCAGATCTGGAGGGAATCTTAGCTCACGCTCCTTTCCCAGGCTGGTAAACTGAGGCCAAGTGCTCTTAAGTGACTTGAGATAATCCAGCCAGTAACTGACCCCAGTCGCCCTGTCACTACCTGGTCTCTGAGCTCCCCGGCCAGACTGCTCCCCCCAACACCAGGACCTGTCCGTACACAACACCGCTGGGTCTCCTTCCTTGGGGAGCACGCCGCAAGCACATCTGGGATACGGCTCTGAAATGGCCAGGGAGCCCCGGCCTCATCCAGGAAGCTGCTAGGCCCTGGGGGAGGAGAGCGCACCCCAGAACATAGCCCACCATCACAGACACCCAGAGTGCAAGGAGGCGCCCGGGACAGGAAGGAAGGAGAGCCCAGCCCCTCCTCGAGAAGGTCTTTTCAGGATCTGATCTTCGCACTTCCCCTGGGGAGAGAAAGGAAGGACAGGTCCTGGGTTTACCGTCCCAAAATGCTGACCCCAGTCAGCAAAATCGAAACAAATGTAACTGATTTCCTGTTGCAAGTGGATGAGTTGCAGGAATTCCAAATGTGTCGCATCCCTTGTGATGGTATTTGTTTTTCCCTTAGTTCCCTCAGCATCCCCGGAAACCCTGTGCCCAGCAGGCACGGGTCAGCTCCCCAAGCAGCTGCGGCCCGTCATCAGCTCCACGACACGGGATCGGCACTTATGACGGCAGTGTCCTGGGGCCACCTGAAGAGAGGCAGAAGGCCGGTATTGTCCTGTGCGGGCCCACCCGCATCCGCCTGCATCCGTCTCTCAAAGACCCAGACGCGTCAGGCAACCCTGTCTGTCCCTCTGCTCCTTTCTGATGTGAAAGAAATTGCTGGCTCACACGGCAGACTTCTCATACTGTACGGTTTCTCTGCCTGATGGCGATCATATCGTACGTCACCTCCTAACCTGTGCCATCACCGGCCGTGCCGGAAAGGCAGAATGCAGAGGCCTAAGTCCCAGCCCTGCGGAGCACACAACTTAGCGAGGGAATTTAGACAAGCTGCATTGTCCCTGTAAGCCGCGTGTCCTTTATCTTTACAGGGAAATGACGCCACTCACATCAGCAGGTGGGGAGAACCGGTGAGCACACAGAAGGCACTTGGAGAAGGCCTGTGGAGGATGCTCTGTGATGCTAGTTGGGTTTCTTACTGTCATTCACTGTTCCCCTTGTCCCCCCGAAGGTGGGGCTGTGCCAGAATCCTTGCGACCCCGTTCCCTAAGACGGTTTTACTTCTCAACCAGAAGGGGACCTCGAGAAGGTAGTGGAGACCCCAGGCTCGGACAGAGCCGCACCTAAATCTCAGGAACAGTCACCCTGTCTCCTATCTGTAAAGCCCTCTGAGAAGAGCCACCCCCTCCCTTCACAGCGGGGCTCCAGCCTTCACCCCCCACCACGGCCTCCCCCGCCCACCACCGCCTTCTCCTGGTGTTGGCCCAAGCTCTTCCTGCCCGCTTCGGAGAGTGCTGCCTCCTCCTGACCCAGACCAATCTCGAAGCCTACTTCTTCCAGACACATGGCAGAGGACCCAGCTGTGTTCCCCACCGTGGCCACCGTCATCCCCACCTGCCCGTGGGGAAGGTCGCTGGCAGCTGCTGCCTGGGCCGATCTCGGCCGGCTTCGTTCATCCATCCGCACTCGGTGGTTTCTGCCTGGCCATACAGGAGCGCCGTGGACTGGACTGGAGGTGTCAGTCCAGGGAGGGAACTGCCAAACCTCACTGGGCCAGCACGTGCGTGACCCTGGTGCATAGCACGCACTCGATCCAGAGAACGAATGAATGAATGAATGAATGAGCGAACAAAACAAAGAATGACGTAGCATGCAGTCACTGAACGCTGCATTCGGGAGACATCAGCTTGTTCATCCCACACTCAAGGCACAGGACCTAAGATCCTGGGCAGGTCACCTGTTTGCCTCACCAGATCCGCCCTCCACCAAAGGTGAGCCCACCCAGCTCTGCGTCCCCGCGGGCCAGCCTGCGTGGAATCGAGGGGCTCCGGCCGGCAGGCTGCCCAGGCCTTGAGGTCAGAGGGAGGAGCGTGCGTGACCTTGCTGCTGACTCTCCCAGTCTGCTCTCCGCTCTCCTTGGGACTACGAGCTGCCCGGGTCATAAGCTGGCTCAGCTCCGATCAGGCTCCTCAGCCCTTTGGGCCTTGGGCGGTAATGCCCGAGGTTCTGCGCTCTCTTTTGTGCTTTTTGTACACCCCCCGCAAACGTTCTAACAGTCCCCGTGTTAAACTTTGCTCAGCTTGCCCCCTATGAGCGAGCACACCTTGTGTTCTCACTGGGCCTCTGACCGAGCTGATCCCAAAGTCCTACCTGTCAAGCCCCAAAAACAGAGCATGGGAAGGGAATTAGTAGTCAAGTAACTTTCAAGAGGTTAGCTAGGAGGAAGTCCTTCTCCATCGGGCTTCTTTTCATCTTGGGGGCGGGGGGGGGGGTGTGGGGAGAGCAGGAAAGGCTTTTCATTTCCTAATTTTTAAATTATTTTTTTGAATTGTTAATATATTCAGATGGCTCAAAATCCAAATATATATATATGTAAAACATAATATGCACTTAAGTGTCCACCATCTGGACAGTTCCAGGGACACGGTGCTGAGCCCCACCCCACGGCCGACCTTTCTGCCTTGCGCAGCCCCAAGTGACATCCTATCACGATACTGAACAAACCAGGTCTCCCTGCAATTTCCACTTGGGCTTACTTCTAGATAGGAGATCACGACTCAATCAAGTGGGGGAGTTCTGGCTCGGGCTCCAAGCCCTCCAGAGTCCCAGCCCTGGCTGGCTTACCACCAAAGCTTCCAAAACCCAGCAACTACTGTTCCTCCCATCCTAGGACCTTCATGAATTAGCATCCACAGAACAGAGGAATGGTATTGTCCCCTTCGTGCAGCAATGACAAAGCCTTAACCTTTAGCAGTTTGCAAATGTTTTGTCCTGTGTGAGCTATTAATACTGTCATCAAGGGAAATCGTCACACGTGCAAGATCATTTAGCTGCGCAGGTATTTAATCCTTGATGTGGATGCTCGCCACCCCCTCCCCAGCCCCCACCAACAAGTGCTGGGACAGGCCTTCTGGGAGCTCCCCCGCAGAGACCACAAGGAAATGAGCGAGCGGAGAAGTGGTAAAGTCAGCAGACATGCGACTGTTCACGCTGCAGTTAAATGAGGTCAGGTGAGAGCCTGAGGGACCGTCCAAGCAAGGCCGCCATGTTATAAGTGGAGTAATGGAGACACTGAGGACAGTGACCGAGGGGCGGGACGTCGTGAGCTGAAAGAGGACCAAAGACAGCTTTCTCCCTGCTCCTAGAAGCAGAGGCCTTCCTTCTCACCACCCCCCCACACACCCCGCCTGCTCTTAGAAGCAGCCGCCTTCCTTCTCACCAGTCCTGTTCACAACCAGGAGCTCTATCCGGCAACCTTTGTAAAAAGGACAAAGGCCAACAGGGTTCAAGTGCAACCAGAGCATTGGCCTAGAATCTGAGTTATGAGGGAAGGAAGAGCCGGCAAGAAGACAGGCAGAGGGCCACCCACCTCAGTCCCAGCCGCCCCCCCCCCAGGG